TCACTAACCAATCCTAGGAGCCCCTGGGGTGCGAAGCATCCACATAAATTTAGATCGAGATAATCAAATTGAGACTTGTAAAGACCAACAACTATAAGCAATCTGATGCCAGACACACATCAACAGATACCACATAGGAAATCTAAAAGAATAAGAACATAGAGCAATCGAAAGAAAGGACCAGGTCATCTCGGATTTTGCTAGGCTACACAAACATATTTCTAGAAAGAACCCCTTGTCTTCCTTGACCACCTTGCATAATATAAGCATCAGCAACCAGCAAAGGGAAACAGGAAACCTACAAATTCTCATGAACGTAGAAACTAAGAGAAGCACTGAAGCACGGACAACAGGTTCTGGAGACGAACGGCGTAGCACAGATGCGAGGGGCGGTCGAAGCTTATATCAATCTCTGAAAGATAAACTTGTTCGCAGCATACAGTAAAAAGGTTAAAAGCAGCAAGGTTCATGGTTTTGGCTGTAGCTGTAGCCTACTAAACAAATAGCAAGCATCAGAGTAATTACCGAAGGTATGTCATATGTGATATGTCCAGCACCAACTCCAAAAACTGGGAGACCTCTCAATGAGAGAGATGATGGCAAAGAAAAAATTATCGAAATAAAGATAGAACTATAAATGAATCTTCGGTAGCTTTCTGATTAGCATAAAAATCTCAACCATAACCAGTTCAGTGCAAAGATCAAATCTAGATGATCGACAGACACCGGTGCAAAGGGCTGTAAAAACAGAAGGATAGTAAAATGAAAAAACAATAATGAATAGGGTAACAGGAGGCCTCTAAACAGGACCAATTCAGTGCAAAGATCGAAGTGGAGCTGATCACATGTATGGAGCATTTTTAAATTCACCGCAACGGCAATAAGATATGTACTGAAAAATCACTGTCATAAGCAAGTGGATTTGCAAGCAAGTGTATGTACTGAAAAATCACAAGCATAACCAATTCAGTACAAAGATCGAATGCAACTGATCGACATGACCTTAGGTCCAGATGTTCCAGACCTGCAAGAAAGTGGACAGAGATGGATATGAATAACTACATCATTGGCATTGAGATGTGGTCAGTAATAGAGCAACGAACAAATTATGTGAAGTAAAGACATCACTGATAATGGACCTATGGTCAGCAATGAGTGCACAAAATGTAGCAATTAATGAAAACAAAATAATACATGCAAAGGCGAATTGCTAAGATACAATGACATAGTCATCACAGAACTAATGAAAATAGCAAGAATCATGGAAGAATGAAAGAACTAACCATTATTGCACAATTCCATTGTCTCAGTCTAAAATAGTTCATCAACCCATAACCCCAGAACCTCAGTAAATAAAATACAGAATGAAACAATTAATCATCATTGTACAATGAAGGATACCAGTTTTGCACATGATCCGCGTATTTAAAGACAAGAGAAGCATAGGAGCAAACGGCCTCCTAGGGGAGGGTGGCCAAGATCCTCGCAGTGAGGAGAGGGAACTGAGGGAAGGGAAGGGGGAGAAGGGGAGAGAGCGCCCCTCCGCCATGCGCAACAGGGCAGATGTGCCAGTGTGGGGCTCCTCCAGCGATGAAGGCCGAAGAGCTAGATCCACACACGTGCCCTTCCCCGGCACTGGCAAAGAGAGCACGCACCGGAGAAATTGATTACTCCCTAAGCACATAAGAAGTATACAGATCGTGGGCGCACCCACAACGTAAAGAAATTGCTTGTAAGGCCCGCCAAGCTGCTACACACCGCAGGCACAGCTTAGTGCAATTCATAAATTTCATTGTTCCTGTTAGAACAAATAATAGATAATCAATGTGTTATCATTGTAACAAGGGATAAGAAGGCCTTTCAAAGAAAGAAGTGTCGACGATCCAGGAAAATAACCTCACATCTAAAGGATCGCTACAAATGCTATATACTAACTCATCTATCGAATTGACGTCATAGCGGACACAACTACTATCACCTGGCTTTTTCCATATTGATTTTATGCATTTCCTATTTCCATGTCAAAGGTGTGGTAACCACTGTAATATACCATCAATCAATTTGTTGGCAAAGGCAATAAACTTTGTTAATAAGCAAAATAGGATCGCTTGAATGCCAAACGACAGGAAAAACGTGAATAGGAAGGTAAAGAAAAAGAAAGAAAATAATGTACTCACCCAGAGGCAATGGCTTGTAGAATGACCATTTCTTAGTTGTATCACTACTAAACACCAACTGGGCACGGCACCTAGAGGAGGAAAGCAATCAGTGTTTCCAGCTTGGAATGTGACACTACCAAACCAAAAGAACTTTACTGATTCCATATCAGGATGGCTGCGATCTTTGATGTATGAAAGTAGAGGAACATCAGATCATTTGTAATGAGCAAAATAAAATTGCCACAAATAGAACTAAGTGGCAAGAATGTATGAGTGGGAAGAAAAACATTAAAAAGAAGCTCTGACCCAAACATATTGGTTATAATGAGTGGACAGTAAATGCTCTGGGTACATACATTTCTCTCAGCAGATAATACTTTGTATGATAGATTACAAGCCTTCAGATCTTAAAATTACATATATACTGTTATTTGATCCACTTTTAATGTCAGCACAGCTTATGTCAGTTATCTATTAATGCTTTTGCTCATATTTCCAACATTTCAGATATTGGAATGTGCAAGTAGTTGACATTGAGATAGAAACCCGATGTATAGAAAGCGCAATAAAAAATGGATAAGAACAAAAGCTGAAAGATATATACAGAGTATGCATACTTGGTAGCACCTTTTCAATTACTCTACAATCCTAACTAAGTAAAAGCAAAAGCAGCATCAAAATGCAATTAGTGCAAAGAAGTTCACAAGCTTCATTTCAAGATTTTCACTTTGCTAGTGAGAAACCATCCACCACGGCCCTGTTTTCAAAAGCTAGACCTTACTTTGCTTTAGCCCCAAACTACAAAAGGTAGTCATAGAGCAATCAATTAAGAAGGACATCAAGTAATTGTTTTTTCATTTAGAATGAGAGGTTATTTAATAACCAACACATTCTACCTTAGAAGCGTCATCACAGTCTATTTTTATCAATGCACAAGGGACAAAGCACCTTTCACAATCTATTATTGTGCTAATTAAGTATATTAACCAAGAGGCACAAGACAAACTTACCAATGCAATAAATAGTGAGAGCCAGCCACCTTTCATTTAGGATTTTTACTCCACTGGGAAACCCTCCACTATCATCTTAGATCCTGAATTTGCTTTAGTCTCCAAATGAGCCCTCTGTAAATATATTATATCTATTCATCTTTGTTTTCTCCAATCTTTTGTTGTTTTCCCTCATACTGTGAACTGCATGTATAGTTGATCCCTAAGCAGTACTGTGAATTGCATGCATATTGATCCCTAGGCAATAGCACACATATCAGCTGAACTCAAACAACACTTAGATTAGTAGGCACACAGGAAGGGAAGAGAAAGGGCACAACAGGAAGGGAAAAGAAAGGGTGGGCGTACCTGGAGGAGCAAACGTAGACTGACGCGGCCAGGCAGCCGCGCCGAGCTGCGCCCGCAGGGGCCGCCGTCGGGGGGCGCCCGTGCCGGGGTTGCCGCACCGTGATGCGTGGTCGCGCCGCCGGGGGCAGCTCGCGACACAGCCGGAGCCGTGAAGCACAGGCAGCTAGGGTTTCGTGTAGCGCACGCGGACCAGCGGGAGAAGGCTGCGCCGGGGTGAAGCCGTGCCGGCGGCGACCGCCGGGGCCTGGTCGCACGGCGCGCCTAGGTGGGGGGGGGGAGGAGCAGGGCGGCCGCAGCGGCGCCCCGATCGCGCCGGTGGCCGTCGCCCTTGCCGCATCGTGAGGGAGGGAGAGAAAGAGAGCGGAGAGGAGAGAGGAGGAGAAGGTGAAGCTGGGGGAAGGAGAAGCAGAAGCCCGATATATATTTGTCTCATTGGATTTGGATAAGAAGCCGGAGAAGCCAAAGGTAAGCAGTGGAGAAGCCGTAAAAGCTAGAGAAAATGACGAGAAGCCGATGTCCGCAGAATCCGCTCTTAACACTCAGAACCACACGATTGGAGATCCGACGGCGGCAGGATTTTGGGATGAGGTGGAGTGATGTTGCGTAGAGGAGCCCTACGCAGCCCGGCATCGTGTGCATACACGTCTGTCTACCTGCACCAACAAAACACGCACGGGACTGGGCATGGTCTTTTTTCCCGAAACATGGTAAATGACCGTGTGCAAAAGGCCTTGCGATTTGTTTACAGAAAATGGCTCGATTTCCTTGCCAATTCAGCGTGCATCAAAGCGTGTTCGCTGGAAACATCGTGCTGCCCCGCACCATGGACACTCGCTGCCTTCTTCACATTCACATGCCAACATGCGGCGCGGCCCGCGGCCCGGACGTCCTGAACCTCTCCTCGGCACATGCGCGGGCCCCACTCCACAGGCGACAGTAGCCACATCCGCAGCCGTACACGCCAGAATCGGACGGCCTGCCGCGCATCTCGCCCTCCCGCGGCGCCGCTGCCCGAACCGAACCCTACCGTTTCTGTTGTCAAAAAAAAAAAAACCCTACCGTTTCAACCAGGCGCCGCCTCTCCGCGTCCGCTGCGTCACTACCAGCTGGGCCCGGACCCACTCGCCCCACACCAATCAACGTCAACCCACGCTCCTCTTCCCTCCCCTGGACTGGCCCCCTCTCCGGCTCTCCCTCGACGTCGTCTCGTGTCCTTTCCGGCCGGCGTCGCTTTCCACGCCCTTTTGTTCAAAACCCGATCGTTTTCTGCAATTTTTTTGGGGAAGCAGTAGCCAGCAGCCCAGCACCAGCAGCCAAGCTACGAACGCACGCCGCCGCTCCCCAGTTCAAACCCACCACCCCTCCCCCTTCATCTTCCATCGCCAGCTGTGCACGCGCTTTCCGATCGCTTCATCTACCTCGCCACCCCGCTCCCGCCCAGCCCCAATCACCAGCCCACCACGCCCGCGCTCCCGATCCAGCGATGGCTGGCTCCGTAGCTCCCCACGCTGTGGTCCTCGGTCTCCTCCTGCTCGCGGGGCTCGCGGCGGCGCAGAGGGGGACGACGCCGGCGGCGGCGGCGGCCCCCGCGCCCGACCCCGGCTGCAACGGCATCGAGCTCACGTACAACTTCGGGGACCGCACCAAGATCCGGCCCTTCGTCAGCGACAAGAACAAGCAGCCCTACGCCTTCCGCGCCAACGTCACCGTGCGCAACTCCGGCACGCGCTCGCTCAAGTCGTGGGCGGCGCTCGTCACATTCGGCTACGACGAGATCCTCGTCGGCGTCGACGGCGCCGTGCTCACGGGCGGCGGCGACCTGCCGTACAACACCACGGAGGACGCCGGCAACGCCACCTCCTTCTCCGGGTACCCGCAGACGGACCTCCTCACGCCCATCGCCACCGCCGGGGACCTGTCGCAGATCCAGGCCTCCGTCGGCATCGTCGGCACGCTCTTCGCCGGGCCCGGCTTCGACCCGCTCCCCACGGCGCTGTCGCTGGACGACCCGGCCTACGCGTGCCCGGCGGCGACCAACCTCACCTCTAAGGTGCTGTCCACGTGCTGCGTCCTCACGCCGGAGGCCGAGGCCAACGCCCCTGTCATCGACGCCAACGCCACCGACCCGACCAAGAATTTCCCTGCCGCGCGGCACCGGCGACCTCGTCATCACCTACGACGTGCTCCAGGCCTACCCCTCCAGCTACCTTGCGCTCGTCACGCTCGAGAACAACGCCAAGCTCGGCCGCCTCGACAACTGGCGGCTGTCGTGGGAGTGGCGGCGCGGCGAGTTCATCTACTCCATGAAGGGCGCTCACCCATCAGAGGTGGACACCTCGGGCTGTATCTATGGGGCGCCTGGGCAGTACTACCAGAGCCTTGATTTCTCGCAGGTGCTCAATTGTGACCGCAAGCCGGTGATCCTTGACCTGCCGCTGTCCCGGTACAATGACACCCAGATTGGGAAGATTGACAACTGCTGCAGGAATGGGACAATCTTGCCCAAGTCCATGGATGAGGCACAGTCGAAATCGGCATTCCAGATGCAAGTTTTCAAGATGCCACCAGACCTGAACCGGACTAAGCTATTCCCCCCTTCCAATTTCAAGATCGCCGGTGCATCATCGCTGAACCCAGACTATACCTGCGGCCAGCCAGTGCCTGTCAGCCCAACTGCGTTCCCAGACCCGAGCGGGCTTGACTCGACGACGCTTGCTGTGGCAACATGGCAGGTGGTGTGCAACATTACCACAACAAAGGGGGCCAAGCCCAAGTGCTGTGTGACCTTCTCGGCGTACTACAACGACTCAGTGATCCCCTGCAACACCTGCGCCTGTGGGTGCCCTGCAAACAGGCGAGGTCCAACGTGCAGCACGACTGCACAATCCATGCTCCTGCCACCGGAGGCGCTGCTTGTGCCATTCGACAACCGCTCACAGAAGGCGTTGGCGTGGGCTGAGCTGAAGCATTACGATGTGCCCCGGCCAATGCCTTGCGGTGACTTCTGTGGCGTGAGCATCAATTGGCACGTATCGACAGACTACAGCAAGGGCTGGAGCGCTCGGGTGACATTGTTCAACTGGGAGGATGTCGACATGGCCAATTGGTTTGCTGCCATCGTCATGGACAAGGCGTACGACGGCTTTGAGAAGGCGTACTCATTCAACGCCACCGCAGTGGGCAAGAACACAATCTTTATGCAGGGTTTGGAGGGGCTTAGTTACCTGGTGAAGCAGACCAACATGAGTGGGATCGACTACCTTGTGCCCGGTAAGCAACAGTCAGTCCTCTCATTCACCAAGAAGCTGACCCCGGGGATAAATGTTGTTGCTGGAGATGGCTTCCCAACAAAGGTCTTCTTCAATGGCGACGAATGTGCTATGCCGCAGAGAATTCCAATGAGCAGTGGGTTCGGCAACCGTCTCAGCCGTGGCCTTGCTTTGGTCTTGTTCCTTGCTGCTTCGGCTTTCCTATTGCTTCAGCAATGATCCACGGGACCCCAATTCTTTGATTCTTTCAGGTGGTTTGGTCGATGCCATTTGTAAGAAGGCCTTTTTTGTTTCTGTGATTTCTTTAGTAGATTTTACTTAGCTGCTATTTGTTAGTCAGATGAAGCAGCAGTTGTGAAACAGTATGAATACTTGGATAGTGAGAAAAAAAGGTGAGGAAGCATTTGTTGCGAGTTTGCAACATTGGTTCCTCATTCTGATGACATTTACATGTTTACACCAGATGAGTGATCTGATCTGTACATCTCTGATCCAGTTGCCTCATGTTTGGTATGTCATACGGAATTTACTCTTGTGGATTCATTCATGCCTTGTTCGTTTGATCCCAAAATCAAAGGGATTGGAGGGGGTTGAGGTGAATTTTTTTACTTGTTGGGGATTTAATTCCCTTCAATCCCCTTGATTCTGAGATCAACCGAACATGCCCTCAAGGGCATTCTTTTCACTTTGATTGACTGTATCAAACCGTATGCCTGCCCATCTGATGGCGTTTTGATGCCTCTGTCAGGATGTATCATTTGAGTCTGTTGTAGTACTAGCATAAACTCTCGGCAGAGGGTACAGATATGACTGCTGCATGCGTGCGGATGAGCATTGGATGCTTCTCAGATAAAGATAGTATTAAATTGATATGAGTTAAGACCTTGTACTTATGTTTCTTCCATTCAAATTTTGAAAGATCTTTGGCGGACAGTTGCTCGTTAAGGGGTCCACTACAGCCTACAGGTACTGGGTCACCAGCCAGCAGCCTTCATTTCAAACACTCCGCAAGTTGCAAGTTGCAAGTTGCAACGTTCGTTTCTCAGGCCAATGGATCCTTTCGCTTTGTCTTCTCGAAAGCAACTTGCAGCTGGTTGTTGCGTCTCCTGTTATCGGCTCAGTTGGATACTTGGATTGGATCAAAAAGAACGTTCGTTTGCTCACTGGTTTTTTCCTCGTCGTCCCACGACGTCATACGCAGTTTGAGTCAATTCAAGAGGCAGCGTATATGATCTGCGCACGTAACATAAGGTGTCCATTTCGTGCCTGAGACAACATAACTGGCACGCACAACTCTGCACATGTTTATGGCTTTGTTATTCAGGGCTTGTTTGGATGCCAAATTTTTTGGCAAAGTGCTACTGTAGCATTTTCGTTGTTATTTGATAAATAGTGTTCAATCATAGTCTAATTAGGCTTAAAAGATTCGTCTCGTGGATTTCGTCTAAACTGTGTAATTAGTTTTTTTTATTTATATTTAATACTTCATGCATGCGTCTAAAGATTCGATGTGACAGGGAATCTTGAAAAATTTTGCAAAATGGGGTGGAACTAAACTGGCCCTCAGAGAAAAGAGCTGTTGGTGACAGGAAAAGTGTACAAACCTGCAGAATCATATCGTGTGAGAGCGCGTGTTGCTGCATAGCACCACGTTCTTACCCGGTCATCAGGTTGTAGAATATTCAGAATTTCAGATCTTTTGGGACTAAAGATCTTGCAGAAATTATACGTGGCTTTCATTCCTCCATTTGACAATTAATTAAGAGCCGTACACCAAAGAATGGTCTCAGGATATTCATCATCCATGCAAATTATATGCTTGGATGCAGGTACTAACATGCTTCCGTGTTGAACAGAGATTTACAACAAAAAGAAAAGAAAAGGTTTATATATATGGATAAAATATACTCCGTATGCACGTCATGCATGAATTCGTGCCGAGCAATAGAACATCATGTTGCCTACCCCTGTGCTATCATTGCTGCAAGCTAAACATCATTCAGTTGACTTCTCATCAGTGCAGACTACAGGCTGTTTCTGCAGAGGACATGCAAAATATGAACCACCCTTTTCCTACGACTTGCGGTGAGGAATAGGTCTCCGCTGTGCCTGGCAATTGATTTGTTCCTCATTTGCCGGGCCCACACGAAAAAGATAAAGTGCAAAGTTTTTACCTTTGAAGAAGTTGAGCTACAAAACGGGCCTCTCATCTCAGCACTATCAAGGGCCCAAGATAACTAAGCTCAGTTCTACTCCCGTAAGCCCACCCACACTGCTATAGTGCTAGCCCATTTCCCACTGAAACACAGCCCGGTAGGCCCAAATCTTCTGGAGCAAACGGCCTGGCCCACAGCCAGCACGCAACATCGTCCATTCCAGCCAAAGCAGAATTTGACCACCACCACCGAGCGAGAGCCAAACCAACCAACCGTTTCAAAGCGAGCGCTTCCCTAATGACGGCGGAAGCACGTGCCACTTGCAGAAACTGGAGGCCACATCGTCACCCCCACGCCCGCGGCGCGGTTGATCCGCTAACAACGGGCGCCCGCCCTCCGCCCCCGCCCCGCCCGGCCTCCGGTTCCCGAACCCCCACTCCTCCTCCCTCTGCGCTCGCCACACCCGTCGCTCCTCTCCTCCACGCTTCTCTCGCTCGCTCCCTCCCCCTCCCTCGCCTTCGCATCCCCGCAAGGAATATCCCTTCCGTGGCGTCCCTTGCTTCTTCCCCACCCCACCCTGTATCAGTGCGTCCCTGCCGCTTAATTTCCCGGTCTCTCTTCGCTCATTCGCCGTCTTCGATCTTGGTTGCCTCGGCCGGTTCGCAGGTACCTGCTTTAATCTTTGCTGGGACCTCATTGATGCACTTTTTGGTTGTTTTTCGGTGGGGGCATTTCGTCGAGCACCTGGGATGCATCGCTGTGACTGCCGTTGAGTTTTTCTTGTAGCCAGATTTGCTAGTTTTTAGTTGGTTTCCGACTTTCCGTTGATGTTTTTTTTTAAGTATGAATGTGTATGTGCTGTTTAGATAGTTCAACGGATGCTTGCTATATTTGCCCCTAGTTCTATTGGGCCACATGCATTTCTGTATCATGCCCTGCAAATTGATGAGCTGTTGAGCATCTGATTGCTATAGAACTGTAACGTGTAAGATATAAATTATGGTACGACCGTACGAGTGTAGAGGAGCAAGACACGGACTAGGTGTGAAATGACTTGGATGGTCTAGCATTGTTATTTACTATCGAATATATCTGCTTGACTTAAATAGTATCATAATAAACAACCGCCATGAGTTTCATTATTACAAAGATGATAATTAGTTACCAGGAAAATGTGGCTGCTCCATGTCCAATATTCTTAATATTTACTTTGTGTTTTTAATAAGTCCGTGCACAAGAATTGATGGTCATTTTATTCATTCATTTCAGGATAGTCAACGAGCATAGAGTTCATGTTGCCTGATTACCTTAGTTGCTACTATGTGATTTATGGTGTTGTCCAACTTCATTCTGGATAAATTAGGTCGCAGGAGGACTTTAAAAACTAGCTGCCTGGTGTTTTTCTTTTCCTCCTTCATTCTTGTGAACTCGCTTTCAGAAGCTTGTTTGCAAATATGTCTTACACGAGCTGTTTGAAGAAACATCCCTATAGAATCTTCTTTCGATATGGCAACTCCATCCTCAGAGCTTCTTTAGAGAAAGGCTCCCCACAAAAGTCACTTATGGACTATAGCACTTTGCTCCATTTCACTGCTTTCTGCCCTGATTACAGAACTTATGCTCTCCTTCTCAGAGCTTGTGCAAAATGCTCTGACCTCTATGCTGCCATGGAAATCCATTGTCATCTCACTAAAGTTGGGTTGCTATCTAATCAGCATATAACACCTCCTCTGTTCAAGTTATATATTGCCCATGATCACGTGTTGGAAGCACGTGAACTATTTTGGTCAATGCTGGAGTGGAGTACCGATCCCTTCCATGGCAATCTGATGCTTATGGGATTCTTGAAGACCGGACAGCTAGATAAGGCGTATCATATTTTCAAGAGGATGCCTGTCAAGGACTTGGTATCTTGGAATTCAATGATTGCCGGTGCAGTAAGGAGCTCACACCTGAAAGAAGCAATGAATATTTTTAGCAGGTTGGTCAGTTCAGGCCTTGTCCCTGATTGCTTCTCATTCTCCTCAGTTCTGTCAGCATGTGCTCGAGCTGGTGCTCGCCGGTATGGAGTGTGGGTGCATCATCTGATGACTGAACTGGGGGTGGAAATGAATCATATCTTAACTTCAGCACTTGTTGACATGTATGCCAAATGTGGAAGAATTGATGTGGCAACTGAGATATTCAATAAAGTCAAGAGAAACCATATTTCTGTCTGGAATGCAATGATTAGTGGCTTGGCATCGCATGGTCTTGGCTCCGATGTAGTGATTTTGTTCCACAAATTGAAAAGTGAAGAGCTGGTTCCTGATGGGGTTACATTTGTTGCACTCTTGACAGCCTGCAGCCACTGTGGCATGGTTGAAGAGGCTCACCAATACTTCAGATCAATGACTACAGAGTATTCTATCACACCAGAAGTTGAGCACTACGGTGCATTGGTGGATACGTTGTCGCGAGCTGGGTTGCTGGATGAGGCATACAAGTTGGTAATGTCGATGAATGTAAAGCCTGATGTTGTGATATGGAGGGCATTACTTAGTGCCTGTCGCAGATATCGCCAAACAAAATTAGGTGAGGTCACTATTGAGCATATGGCATGCCATGGCAGTGGGGATTATACCCTTCTTTCAAACATCTATTCATCAGCAAATAGATGGAATGATTCAGAGGAAGTATGGAAACAGAGGAAACAAAAGAAAATTAGGAAGAGCAAAGGCTTGAGTTGGGTTGAGTTAGGGGGAAGCACCCATGAATTTAAAGCTGGTGATAGATCTCATCCAGACACCGAGGATATATACCTAGTGCTGCATGGATTATGTAAAAGAGCTAAGGTTGAAGGTTATTCTCCATTGACTGAACTAGTAACAAAAGATGTCTCGGAGGAGGAAAGAGAAGAAAACCTTACCTTCCATAGTGAGAAGCTAGCAGTGGCTTATAGTGTCCTGAAGACTGGTCCAGGGACAGAAATAATGGTTTCAAAGAATTTGCAGATTTGCAGTGACTGTCATGAATGGATGAAGATAATCTCAAAGGTACTTTGCCGTGTTATTATTATGAGGGATAGAATTCGATTTCACCGGTTTGAAAGAGGATGCTGCTCCTGCAAGGATTACTGGTAGGCCTTTCCCGGAGCAATACAGATGTGATCCAGCTAATACTAAACGAGCAGTTCCGAGGGGATACAGAAGATCTAATTACTTTCTCCATCTGAAGAATTTGGTGCTGGTTCTGCTGCTGCATAGCAATGAAAAAAATATAATTCCTATGAGAATGAAACATTTGGACATTTGGTTACTAGTTTAGCTCTTTGGCACATCACAGGGAACCAAGGAAAGAAGGGCTAGATGACAGACACATGCATGTGTATTGTACACTCCGAAGCAATGCAAGTGTTTAATGAGAAAGATCAAAATCTCTATGTTGGGTTTGTGTTTATGATTCATTCAGTACCCTTATGTTTTCATATGCATGACATTGAAACTGCTTTGCTGTCTTGTTTTGGGCTTGTTTCGATGATTACTTGTGTCGACATGATATTATATGTGGTGCGCGATGATAACATTTATTTCATTTCTGATCCTGGATCAGTTTAATTTCCTGATAAAAACTAATTTTTGCTTATCATTTCAGGATTAATGCTGAAGTGTTATCCAATATTCAGTGAAAACTAGCTACTGAAAAATAGGAGTAGCAATACCTTTGACGCCCCATTCATTCTGTTTCTGCAATGTCCTTGTCTTCCATTTGCTGTGGGAACTTCCATCTACTAAGGAACTCTATAGGAGACACTTGCAGTATCAGGTGGCTTAAATACCATAGCAGATTAATATATGAAACTTTCCTCTCAAGCAGAAGACATCAAAGTAGACCTCTTAGTACAACAGTGCTAGCAAGAAGCACAAGAAAAGGAAGTAAGCAGTCATTTAGCAATAGCCGTCATTTGCACGGTAAATCGGTTGAATCATCAATTGAAGTGTTCAAGCAGTCAGAGCTTGAGCAGCTTAAATCACTTCATTGCTACAATGTTGAGGAAGAGTTTTCTGGGGTCAAGACCGAATGGCCTGCAACTATCCTTGTATTTGATATTGAAACTACAGGCTTCTCACGTCGTGATGACAGAATTATTGAGTTTGCTGTTCGTGATCTTATGGGGGGAAAGAATAGCACTTTCCAGACACTCATAAATCCCGAGCAAGAGGTGAGAAATTCATATGTTCATGGTATTAGCAACAGCATGCTCTGCAGACCTGATGTTCCAAGGTATGTTCATGCTTTGTTATGCCAAATATGCCAAGTGTCATATTTAGTTTACTAGCAGTAAGGCGTGATCTGAAGTCCCCTGTTGAACACTAAAATAGGGGAAATTGAGGATCACTTTCTCTATCCCATGTATCGTTTGTTTTTGTTTTTCATTGCTTGCTAACATGCTCAAATATCACTACTTTATAACCATGAGATGAGGGAACAAGGCAGTATTATGTTCTGAAAATGCAGTCATGTGAAGAAAGAACTATGTACTAGGATCAATCTCCCATATGTTACTTCCTAGAGGCAATTTGCGACTTATTATATTTTTTAACATATAAAGGTTACAAATTATAGTTAAACTTAATTTCTGAACTACAATTCATTTGAAACATGATTACCCTTTATTATTTTTTACGCATTTGTTTTTATAATCATGGTGGTCTCATGTATGGCTATGCAGATTTGGAGAGCTTATTCCCATTCTGCTACAATATGTGTGGAGTCGTCAAATGGACGGCAAACCAGTTATGTGGGTTGCTCATAATGCGCGTTCCTTTGACGTACCCTTTCTCATCTTTGAGTTCCGACGGTGTAAAGTAGAGATGCCTGGTGATTGGCGCTTTGTAGATACTCTTCCTATCGCAAGACAATTGGTCGATTCTAATGGTATGCTCTCTTGTCAAGTTTTCCATTTCCTTGCATAGACATATTGTTCTGAAGAGCTTTTGTTTTCCACTTTTCCAGTAAAATAAATTGATGAAATACAGCAATGTACTGTGCACCGTTGTTGTTGATGAACTAGCAAGCTAAACTTTGTTTTGTCATTTAACTATTTCTGCCTATAGCATTACAATTTCGTGATTAAGTGTTTGTGGGATGAAGTAAGATGCATTTTAAACCTCCTATTCATATTTGGTTTGCAGGGTCAAAACTCAGTTCTGTGTCATTGAAGAACCTGAGAGAACGCTACAAAATTCCACTCACAGGGAGTGCGCATCGTGCCATGCAGGATGTGACAACCCTCTGTTATGTGCTTCAGAAATTGACCTTTGAGCTGAAACTAACTGTTCCTCAGCTGCTCGAGAAGTCTTTCCGAGCATCAGATCTTCCAGCGACTCGTCCTGAAAAGTAACTGTATCTGCCTCACCGGGAAGATCGCCTGAAGCACTAAATTATTCCATCGTTGTTGTATTATTTACAGAGATGTTATTTGGAGATCCCAGCTTTGATTTCTTCGATGTTCTTTCTAACAACCTAATAAAGCCAGCCTGATTGTCACTGATACATCAGTAGTACAGTAATCCGTATTACTGATACTCTGCCCTTGTAGGCTTGTATACATTACTCAATCATCAATTCAACATATATTTACTTGACTGCAAACTTCTGTGTGCTGCTCAACCAAGAAATGTAATGTTCTTGACAGTTTCTGTGGGAGGTACATGTACTGCAGCTGTGATACTATGCACGGCACACGAATGCATTTTTGCCTCCACTCCCCTGTCTTGTACATATTCAACTACTCCATATGTTAATCTGGCTGTATAGGATAAATATATCTCAGACCCAACCTGTGGTGTCTCAATGTTTCTTTTTACCGGAAATGTTGTTTCAGCTATTATTTTTTTGCGAAAGATTCAGTTATTAACTGTGAACAAACTCTTGTCCTGTTTTGTAGGAGGCTCTGTTTCATTAACCAGGAGAAACAAGTCAATTTTGTCCTCTGTTTTGGTCGGCAACGGACCTCTATATAAGCCGGGGTCAGTCAAAGCCCAACTAACCTCTCTTCCCTCCAGTTTCCCAGGCCAACGGCGATAGGGTAACCGCCACGACCTCACCGTCTTCCTTACGATTCGAACCCTAGCTTCATCGCTCCATTGCTCTTGCTTCGTGGCTTGGGTGTTCGAGCGCGAGCGGAGGTGATGGAGGAGCTGGCGTTCTTGTCGCCACTGAGGCTGTCCCGCCTCTCCTTCGAGGGCCGTGATGGCTGCGGCTTCGGCTCGCCGACATGGGCATCACAACTGGCTCTTAAAATTACAGGATCATTAGAAGTAGATTTAGGGGTGCTGATTTGACTAGAATAGGATAAACATGTCTTAGAACATGGACTACAAGATCCAAGAGGAAGAGGGGAGCAGAGGTACGGACCATCGGAGGGCTTGGTGGAGGTGGAACCACCTATCGCGTTGGTAGGGAGGGCGGTGAAGAGGTGGTGCTCCAGTGGCGGTGTAGCGGTGAAGTGGTCCAACGGCGACGGCGTCCCGGTGATGGTGCTTCCCGTCGCTGGCTGCGCCCCTCACTAGATCGTGTTAGGTGTTGTCGGTGGGTGTGACGGCTTACGGTGAACCTCGTACTCAGAGCCGTCGATCCCCACCTCTCTTTATAGCGCAGTGCGACGGGGCCCACCAACCATGTAAGGGTGGACATCCCCGATCAGGGCGCGAGGTCAAGGCCCAACTCGGCCCAACGGCCGAGCTGGAGAGATCAACACTAACACTGGGGACGCTACGCGACGACTCGCCTCATCGTGCGTCTTCGACAGCCGTGGTGGCGGAAACGGCGGCTCGAGCTTCAGCTCGCCGACATGGGGATCGCCGCTGGAGACGCTGTTCAATGCGCCCTCATCGTGCGTCTCCGACAGACATGTCGGTGGCAACGGCTCCAGGTTCAGCTCATTGACATGGGGGTCTACGTTGGAGACGATGTTCAACTCGCCCTCATCGCGCGTCTCCGACAGCCCTGGCGCTGGCAATGGTTCCATGTTCTGCACGCCCAAGCAGGCATCGCCTCTGGAGACACTGCTCAACTCGCCCTCATTGTCATCGTGCGTCACCGACAGCCGTGGCAGTGGCTTAGTGTTTGGCACGCCGAAGATGGCATTGCCGCTGGAGACACTGTTAGGATTGATCTCATCCGACTCAGTCCAACGACTGAGTCGGACCCCTTGACCGTGTCCTGATCGGGGACACACAACCGACCACTGGTCGGCGGGCCCCTGTCACATAGCGCTATAAGAGAGAGGTGGGGGCTGGGGCGCTAGACACGAGGTTCGACGTCGTCACTGGACCCTACCAAAGAACCCTAGAATCCCCTCCGATCATGGGCAGCGCTGCAAGTGACGGGAAGCGCCGCCGACAGCCCCTCGCCCTCTGGACTCCATCGCGCCTACGCTGCCACGACATTGGCGTCCACATCGCTGCGGCACCATGGACGCAACTGCGCTAGGGCGAGGTACAGGAACCAGTTTCCCCATCTAAGAGCAGTTTATCCCCTGATCTATGTTTTAGAGGTATTATTTTCTATCAATGGTACCAGAGCCAGGTTATCCTACCGTGTAGATTGTAGATCGGGGTAGAAAAGTGAAATAGAATTTGAACCGAAACCCTAACTCTAAGGATGAAGACCGCCGTCACGTGGGAAGAAGACCGCACCGCCGCTTCGACGGTGTGCGGGAAGGAAGCCACCTAGAGCCGCCGTGGCGCGTGGGGTAAGAGAAAGAAAGAAGGGGAAGAACGGCAGAAGAAAGAGGGCTCGATTTGGCCCTATTCGGATCGACCCAGACAATGAACCCTAACCCTAACTCACGAAAAGAAGTCGGGGAAGATGAACAGAGGGTTCGACCCCGAACCCTAACCCTAACCCTAACCCTCACCTAAAAGAAGGATGGAGAAGGGAGGGCACCTACCCTGGTTTCTCTCACCGCTGTCACCACCGCCGTCGTGCGGGAAGGTGACCCCGCCACCACGCGGAATCCACCCGAGCCGCGCCGGCTCGCCGGTGTTCCGCTGCGTCGCGCGCGCTCAGGGCACCACCGCAAGGCCGCTCGACGGTGGCGCGCTCACCCTCGGGTGAACGCGCGCGGCGGCGAAGGGGCCTACGGCGGCGCCGTAACCTTCCTCCGGCCATCGCTGCGCTCCTTGACTGCGCTGAGAGAGAAGGGAGGGAGAAAAGAAAGGCTAGGGTTTCGGGAGTCGGTCGACGACGCGCCGGTTTTGTTTGGCCGAAATCAACGCGTGGCCGTCGATCTTAGATGAACGACTCAGAGTGATCAGGCTGGATTTTGGCCCAAGCGGGCGCACGCGGAGGGCAACTTTGCCGGCCCAGGCCTAGGTTATGGCCTGGGAAGGCACCACAGGCGCGCGAGGAATGTGGACCGGGCCGATTTGCAGCCGGGCCATATGAATAGGATCAGTTTGAGCTTTTTACTTTTTCTTCTTTTTCCGATGAATTTAGTTTTTTTCCTGGAAATTGATTATTGGCTCAAATAAAATTAGTTTTGAGGAGTTTTTCTGTGGGTAAAATTCACCAATTACGTTTAAGTTTCCACTGCAAACTTTAAAGTTTATTATCTTCTAATTAAATTCGAATCAACGGGAAAATTTAATTTTAAGAGCAGTTATATTTAGTAAATTATGATTATGTTTATCCTCTAATTAAATTAGAACCAACGGGAAAATTTAAATTAGAGGAGTAGTCCATTATTGTTTAAGTAAGATTATGGTATTGTCATTTTCTGACCAACGTTGATGATGACAATATTATAACGAATTGAAGTTTGAAGTTTAAATCTCTGATAAATTTTACACCAACGTGGTGAATTTTCAAAGAGTAGATAAGAACCATGAAATGCTCCTGAACTAAAAGAATGTATTTCATTATTAAGTTCCGCTGCGATGAAGATGATGATCTTCTAATTAAATTCGAACCAACGGAAGAATTTAATTTTGAAGAGTAGTTATATGGATTTCAAGTTAATTTATGAGTTTTAGTGCATCAATTCTATTTTCTGCCCAACGGTGATGTAGAATTGATGTAGAAGCACATTGTATGTTTTACTTTTAACCAACAAGATTACTCGGCTGCATGCCAACGAGCTACAATGTTGGGGTATGTGAATGAAAAGGCTTGAGTCAAGCCAGTTGAAGACATTTTTTATTAGTTTAATAAATTTTTGATTAAATTGGAACCAACGAAAAGATTTAATTGAAAAATAAAGTATAAGTGAATGTTTTAGTCGTCACGACTATGTTTTGTATAGATCTATCCCACATGAGGAGAAGTTTTGGCATAGTACTTATGCTAGTCAATCCTATGTGGCGGGAGAAGTTTTGTGATGATTCACATGTTTTGTATCCCGTATAGCGAGAGAAGTTTGGGTAGCTATTATACTGTCCGAGCATTGACTATGGCACAATAGAAATGCATTGTCATTGTTAATACTAACCAAAAGGATAAGAAAAGATGCAAACGTGACTTGCAAAAGTACAACTAATGATAGACCTCGTTGAGTTCTTCAAGTGAAATAAAGAAAGTGTACTTTTAAACGGATCAAGAAATAACTTTGTTTACATGACACAATCATGTGAATGAAGTAAGTTATAAGTGTCTCCTCGTTCATAGGTTTTCTGAATAGTTATCAAAATTATGGCAGTAAAGTTCATGCCATATTTCGAGGGGGAGAATATTAAGATCAATTAAGAAAAATGCTCTTCATTAAGAGTGAGATAAAGATCCATTAAGAAATATACTCTTCATTAAGAGTGAGATAAAGATTAATTAAGATATATGCGACCATCGGAGGAGTACATCGGTCATAATAATGATACCCCTAAGCAGAGAAATAGCTAAATTCATGGGCCGTTTAAAGTTCCGACAGGAAGATAGCGTAGTCAGCATCAAAGATATTAAAGAGGTGCTTAAAGCGCCATCTAAAGTTTTAACAGATTGAACTTTAAAAGATCAAGATGCCCAAGAGGCGGGGTAAATTGGGCTAATTCTAAAATTCTTTACAATAATTAAACCCTACGGTTAGCCCACTTAACCCCTTGTGCCTAGAAAGTGTTTCTATTGTTCTAACGCACAAATGTTTAGCAACCTATGTTCCAATCCTACTCTAGCATGGCAATTCTATGAATGTGAAGACAAAAATTGAATTACTCAAAATAAATGCGTAAAGTAAAGAGAGAAGGAGGAATGCGGTGATGTTTTGCCGAGGTATCGGAGAGTCGCCACTCCTCACTAGTCCTCGTTGGAGCACCCACGCAAGGGTGTAGCTCCTTCTTGATCTGCGCAAGGATCAAGTGCTCTCTATGGGTTGATTCTTCAACACTCTGTCGTGGTGAATCACCCACA